GGAAAAGCATTGTGCTGACATTTTAATTCAATGCTGTATTCTACCCTACACAAAATTACCTGATCTCCTCTAGTGGGTTCTTCCGTTGGCACTTGTTCACATGAGAAAATCATGGGCTGTTAAAGTCTTTGTCACCATGGAAACAAGGCTTACAGGGGTAGTTAGGATAATCAGTTATTTTTATATCCCAACAAAGTATGTGTAAAAAGGTAATTATAAGAGTTGTTGAAGGTCATTGCGGATGACAGCCAATACTTACCTTGTCACACCAAGATAGTGTCTAGGCTGTTTACCCCGCTTTCTAATTACGCTATGTTGTAAAAAATCTTTTCATCAATCGATTTTCGTTTTAGAGCAGACTTTATTTCCCAAAGCAATTAGAACTGTTGGCGACAAAATGCATGTACAGGTGATGCATGTTTCTTCAAACAGTTGATAGGTGGAGCTGTTACATAAATACATGTTATATTGGCATTGATTGATACGGTCCACTGCACCTTCAACCACAACCTAGGATGCTATATGCTGGGCACATGAGGATGACATGTTAGTCAATCTCTCTAGGATACTTTCAGGGTTTGCAGGCATGGTGCAACAATCACTGTCTAGTACACTGCTTTGGCATGTGTTGGTTTCCTGGTAAGATGAACTATGTTGATGCGTTTAGTATGCAACAAGTTTAGTACAATATATCAGCACATCACATTGAACACAATGTTTGTTAGTTTATTTGCTGAGTTTGTTCTGTGAAAGAGCCAAGCTCATTTTGATTTAGTTGAGGTCTGTGTTAGCTGATTTGTTCCACAGTGATGTACATCCACTGTCTGGTACATTGTAGACTGGGTATCTACTGTCTGGTACATTGTAGACTGGGTATCCACTGTCTGGTACATTGTAGACTGGGTTTATGTGAAGATGAGAACAATGTACACCCACTGTCTGGTACATTGTAGACTGGGTTTGTGTGTAGATGAGAACAATGTACACCCACTGTCTGGTACATTGTAGACTCTGTTTATGTGAAGATGAGAACAATGTTCATCCACTGTCTGGTAAATTGTAGACTGGGTATGTGTGTAGACGAGAACAATGTACATCCACTGTCTGGTGCATTGTAGACTGGGTATCCACTGTCTGGTACATTGTAGACTGGGTATGTGTGTAGATGAGAACAATGTACATCCACTGTCTGGTACATTGTAGACTGGGTTTATGTGAAGATGAGGACAATGTACACCCACTGTCTGGTACATTGTAGACTGGGTATGTGTGTAGATGTGAACAATGTTCATCCACTGTCTGGTACATTGTAGACTGGGTATGTGTGTAGACGAGAACAATGTACATCCACTGTCTGGTACATTGTAGACTGGGTATGTGTGTAAACGAGAACTATGTACATCCACTGTCTGGTACATTGTAGACGGGGTATGTGTGTAGATTGGAACAAGCTACATCCACCACATTTGACATTGCACTATAGGTATATGTATGATATGTGTGAATGAATGTGGATGATTCATTTTCTTTCTTGTGTTGCGATTATTTATTGATAGTCATGTAATGGTGAGAATAAACAATTTGTATAAAATGTTAAAGAAAACACATGAATGTACATGTAACATTAATTTCTACAATAAAATGATAATCTAGTCTGTTGAATAATAAAACATTTACAACTCTGTTATATTCAGGCGGTAAAATAAACTAATATCATATTTCCTCACTCACAGCTGTGACGGGGTTTGTAAAATACGTATGTTACAATCAAGGTGTAAACAAAATAGATTTTTGATTTGTTATATATATGTGATTATTTGCTTATTGTCTGACATGTCAGCTGTGACCATATTCATGTTGTGGTAGGATACTTAAAAGCATCAACAGATGGTGAATGATTGGAGAAAAATAGTATTTCTCTTACCAGAAGCTAGAATATTTCATTGCATCCATCTGCAGTGTTTTTTTTATTTATTTATTTTTTGTTTTTGTTCTTGAGGAGGATGTTTGTTGTTTTTTATTTTTTATGGTATTTACACAGCTGCAGACTGCAGAAGACAATTTATTTACACAGAATATTTTTAACTAAGCACTTTCCTAAGAATCATATCACTACTGGATGGGCATACTTGAAATGATGCAGCATTATCACATGCTGTCAGAAACCATTATTTAAGCACAGCTTTAATTAGTCCCTTCAAGATATTGTAAAAGCTTTCTTCCATTTTTAAGTCTTTCTGATATATGTCTATTTTTTAAGTCAACCACGCTCAAAAAACTTTACTTATATGTATTACACAACTGTTTAATGGAAAGTTTTACACTTATCTATAAAGTTATACCATCGCACCCCAAGTGTGAAATGTGCAGGTTTTAACTCATAGTACTCGTTAAAACATTTACTGGGTAGATACAATTTGGGTTGGGTATCAATGGGGATAATGTTGTGTTTGATGGAGTGTTATTCATTAGAACTGATGATATAATTGCTTCATGTCAATTTTCCATAGAGAAGATTGTAGATTCTTGTAAGAGGACATGTGACCAGCACAAATTACTGATAAAGTAAAAATGTATGTCCGGGAGATGTAGGCATTTTACCTGACAGTTCAGATCTGTTCATATCCTTAATTCAACGCCCAAGGTCAGAGAGACTCACTCCTTTGACTACAACTGTGACAATTTACACTTTTTAGTCCCAGCAAGCTTTAGTGATAAGAGATTCTAGTGTTAGCTGTCCATTTGTATGTCTGTATAACATCCAAGTCCATCTTTCCTTACCAAGGGTTATGGTCCATCTTAAACACTTCTGGCTAACAAAGGTGATCTTGGTCAGGTTTTACATTTAGTTACATTTCTCTAGAATCTTCAGTAAAAAAAACCCTATTAGTTACATTTGTCTGGTATCCTCAGTACAACCCCTATTAGTTACATTTGTCTAGAATCCTCAGTACAAATCCTATTAGTTACATTTCTCTAGTATCCTTAGTACAACCCCTATTAGTTACATTTCTCTAGTATCCTCAGTACAACCCCTATTAGTTACATTTGTCTAGTAGCCTCCGTACAACCCCTATTAGTTACATTTCTCTAGTATCCTCAGTAAAAAAAAACTATTAGTTACATTTCTCTAGTATTCTCAGTACAAACCCTGTGTGTATCAATCTCGGACACTCATTGAGGAGTACAGTACAACATTATGACACTAACTGAACAAACTACTCTGGGATGAACCCTTCATTGTTGATTATGAATGGTTACCACATGGGTATACTTTTATCTGTTATTACTTACTTCAGGTAGGTATTGCATTTAAAGTTGAATGTAACAAATTGTATAGAAACACCAAGAAGAACTCTCAATAAAAATTCAATTTTATGTCAACTATTGAATGACCTATCAGTATCTCTAATGAACTTTGAATCAACTGTCTCCTGATAAACAGTTGTGAACCAATACATATATAAGGAATTAAAGGTAAACTCCTTTTCTGTCCCATGTCAAATTGAATTGTATCTATATTTAATAATGAACATTTGAATGGTAATTATACCACCTCCACCCACCCACTGTCCCTTCTCCCCTGTTTTGCAGAAATTTGGGTTGCCATGGTAACCAGGTCACTATATACACAGGCTTTTATGAAAATAATTTAGTCTGGACAACTCCTCCTAAACCTGAAAACTGATTTCAGTGAAACTTCACAGGAATGTTAGGGACCATGACCATAACTTATAAATGCCTGTAATTTGACACATGAGATGTTTCCAGAACCATTATTAAGGAAACATGATGGAGGTTTCTGATTGGTCAAAATTGATATATTGTCCTATTATACTGAAAATTTATATATAAGGGTTTAGAGGGAAAGCAATTACAATGGTACTATGTTTAAAAAACATCTTATGTCATTTAGTTGGTAACCACGTAAGACCCATCATTAGATAGATTATTTTTAGACTTCTCTTAATGATATGGAAAGATTTTTGTAAAACAATGACACCATTTTCGAAAAATGAAATTTTTGCCATTTGACTATTTTTGATTCAGTGATGGGGCAGGAGGGATGGGAGGGGGGATTATTAGTCGACCATCTTGGCAACAGTTCTGGTTTGTGAGAGATAGTGTGTAAACAGTGAAGCTGCATTTTTTAGTTGATTTATGAAGGTACAATGTTCAATACCAGATGTTTGTTTACTTGCACATTTAGTGATGCACTGGATTTTGTCATATTAATGATTTATGTTCGGCAAAAATTGTGTAATAGTAAAATGAAACTCTAGAACAGTAGTTATGAACACTTGAAATCAAATCAGGTTCTGCCGTGCTCGCCTGTCACATGTCTCAAAAACTAAAGAGGAAAAGAAGTTCTAAATAGGACTTGTCAAGGGCTTGTGATTGAGTGATAGAATCTGTTGTTGTTATGCCATCGAAGTGACAGATCGGAAGATTCACATGTCAGATGCGTTACTTTCTGATACTGCTACATAGACAGAGGAACATACAAGCTACAACACGTAACAGTGCAATAGGCTTTGTCATCATCAAAGGCAAAGTCTTTTTATCACAAGATTGGTATTGATTAATGTTTGATGCAATCTTACTTGGCAGGTCTGTCACAATTCTGACATAGTTGACTTATATATTTCCTTCATAAAGCCATATTAAGTCATGCGTCTCTACAAAACTACTCTTTATAGTAATTAGATATTACAAAATTTTATTTGAATTGCTGTATGTTAATTGCAATTTTAAAAACAATGTTGTTCTGTTCTTTTTTTTATATTTGTGGAAATTGTCAATTAATTAACAAAATATTTTATTATAGGCATGTTATTTTAATTTCATTGTGGATGACATTCTCATTTTCAATTTCCAAAATCCTTTGTATTGGTTAATACCAAGGAATTTCTTTCATCTTATCATACTAAGAAGATTAGATATTGTTGAAATTGCTAAATTTCTCATGCTAAAAGTGTGTCATTTTTCTGTCTTTACAGTCTCATGAAGTGCAGACCTTACAAACAGAGCTCCAGCAGACACACAACATTGTCAAACAGCTGCAGGCCATCATCCTCAAGGAGCGCGTCACACACAACCATAATGTTGCCATTCTCAAAATGAGGCTTCAGGAGAAAGAGCAAGAATGTCGAAACAATGCAGCAAGATCAGACAAACAACTAGGGGAGGTAATCGCACATCTTCTCCTCCTAGAAGGCCAATTAAAGAAGGAACACTCTCAGGTTCGCTGCAAAATGGCCGATAGTGAAAAAATCATTCAGAAACAAGAAGAAGATATTGAATCTCTGAAGGAAACCAACCAAAGACTGTTAGAGGCAGTGCGTGATGCCTACGGCAGGAAGGGAAAAAATGGAGTTATGTTATTGGAAAATTTGAGTGATGACAAAACTGGGTCTAGCGAAAGTCTAGAGAGCCCCACTTTAAAGTCGCCACCATCTTTAAAATCACCCCTGAAAGGCAAATGGGGGTCAATGAAGGATAAAATGACCAGAAAACACCGAAGTAGTTTGGATTTAAGTGACACAGATTTTGATGGAAATCAAGGTCTGTTGATTGGCCGGCAGTATGGAAGCCAGGAAAGCCTACTAATGATTGGTAGAAAGTCTAAGGAAATACGTGAAGGACGAGACAAAAAATGTCGTAGTATAGCTGGTTATCCAGACAGCTCACTGGTTGGACTTATGGAAGTGCCGGATGAAAATGAGAATCGGCTGGATAATTTCTCACATTCCAAAGTTTTGAGTGGAGGGATTGGAAATAAAAACCAGCGTGAAAATGTACAGAATACAAATACTTTACAGGTTTCATTGAATGGAATTGAACAGTCCTCTGCTGGTTTGTTGTCAGCAATCTCAATGCCAATATTGTCACAGACAGATAAAAATTCTAACCCAGCTCCAGCAAAGGAGAGACCAAAGTCCATATCAAGCATAGAACACATATCGTCTCATGACAGTGGAGGTACCCCTGATCTTCCCCCACCAATGGAGGCCTACCCCCCACCCCCTAAGTCACCAGGAGCCACATCCAACTCCAGTATTTCTGATTCATCGAACCCATTCAAAAATTTGAAAACTATATTAAAACGGAAAGGAAGTAAGATCAAGGGAAAAAAGCGTTCTGTAACGATGGCTGACTCACCTAGCCAGGACTATCAGGCCGCTGTTAAAAAGCATTTTGAGAAGTATGACATGTCGTGATAAAGAGTGCTGCTTCATTTGTAAGCAATTATGTCAAGTGCTTTAAAATGTGTCTTGATTCTTTGGGACAAGGATAAAGCTGTCAGTGAGGACATTGGTCGGTGATAGAGGAATCTCTGTCCACTTACATTTCTGGTGAATGAATAAGTGCTTCTTAATGTTTGAATGTTTTAGAGATAACTTGTGCCATATTCTGGTTATTGTTTAATCAGAGGAATCTCCAAGTAGGATAACTTCTAATATCTTTCTATAGACAGCCTGGATAAAATCAATTACACTGATGCCAGGAGGAAGTGAATCTATACAACTGTTATCTGTTGCTAAACACCATAAAGAATATTTTGAAAAAGGAATTCATTCCTTGATTAATTATCTCCTTGATCCATTAAACCACCCAGTATTTATGAAAGTGTACACAAAAGTACATGGATACAATCTATTTCAGCGATCCAAGTAAACTGAAGAACTATTTCATTGTTAGATTTTTGCAGTCATTTGCAGTCATCTTCTTTGCTGTAAATAGCCATTCAATAGTACATGCAATATACATTGAAAGAGTACAGGTAAACTTTGTACTATGGAGAACTTCATCAATTTTTTATAGTGATCAGCTGTATTGTATCAACAGGTGTGATATACAGGTGTGGCATACATGTATAGTATACAAATGTGGTATACCTGTAGAGTATACAATGTACTGTTTGGGTATGATGTACAGTAATGGTAAATGGTACTTGTATGCATACATATATATAGTTAACACTATATACAGGTGTTGTGTAGAGGTATTATGAACTGTTAAAAGCGTACAGTTTTGGTATACAATTAGATTGTACAGGTATGATGTACAGGTATGATGTACCAGTGTGATATACCAGTGTGGTAATATACAGATATAGGAATGGTATGTAAATGTGGTATTATATGGAGTTATACAGGCAATGATTTAAATTTAGGTACAATGAAATCTAGTTTACCATATATGGTTAACATTAAGGAAGCCCAGGTATACACCGGTATGTACAGAGTTTGTCTCATCTACATGATTTATGTGCAAAAGGAGTTGATGCGCATGACATGTTGTCTTTCATTCTTCATGCAACTTATATAACATTTGCATATATTTTATGTGAATTTATAACAGACACAAATGGTTATGACCTTTTCTAAATGAATAGTAAGTAGGTCTATTCTGCTGCGTCTTGTGATGTCAAGAACCTGCAGTTTTATACAGGTTTTACCAGTTATGTTAAAGTGTGTGACAAATAAGTACAAGCCATTTCAATTGTTCTTTCATTCATTTAATCCGTAATTCTGTGTGACTGTACAAGCCTAATGAGTCTGTTTCTCAGTATGTTAAACAATGGATATTTTTCAGAACCATATCAGAATTTTTTCTCAAAACTTCTTTATTTCCTGTTTATGGTGTTACAGCGATCACAGAGTTATATCTTCAATGCATATTCATTATTATATATTTTTTGAATACCCGTCGTACTAATAAGTTTGAGGTTGTTGTGATAATCCGTCCGTATGTCGGTCCATCTGCCTATTAAGTTTAGACCTTTACCTGGAATCAGGTATATACATTTATGATATAAGTAAATTCAGGAGTTGTGTTCTGAAAGATGTTTCTGGTATACTCATCCCTGCAGAATTCAACATCATCAGTCCTTTGTCTAAAGTCAACAGGCTTTGTGACCAGTCAATGGATCCTGTGATACATCACATGCCGATTCAATTAAGGAAGTAGAATTGCACACATCTGATGACTTGACATGAAGTGATGTTTTACTTTTCTCATAAAACATTAATGTTTCCTTTGATTACTGAATCAAGAAGTATGGAATTTTATATAATAATGAACATTGTCACAGGTTTGTTTGATAATTGAATGTTGGGAATCCTTTAAATACTCTAAAGGATTTTTCATTTGTCAACTTGATTGAAACCCATTTTATAATACAATAAATGTATTGATTTGGATTTATATTACATGTGTTGTCTCCCTTGTACCTCACTGACTACACTGTATGATAGAAATAAGGTGATATTTCTCCTCATAGAAAACAAGAGTAGTTGTGTCTGATTTTAATCAAATTAAATGCTAACATGTGAAAATTTTTAATCTTATGAAGCCATTTGTTCTTAACATCTTTCTGCAGGGCTGGTGAATATATAATGGCCTTGCCCGTTTGGCTTTCTCAAGAAAAGGAAACTAATGTTGCACTTCAAAATCCCTTGGCAGTTATCAGGATATTAATTTTATAGGATCAAATTCCAATTGATGATTAAATTCTACTTCATTGATCCTGGAGATATCACTTGTCCAGATAACAGAAATGTTTTGATTCACGGGTTCCTTTGTAAACTGTGGTACAACTCTCTTGTGGTATTTATCTAGCAATAAGCCCATGTCTGATGATAGGCCCACCCAAATATTTTGTAGTTTCGTTACAAATGACTACATATGCTAAATGGTTGTCCTGTAATAAGCCCACCTTTTATGTTAGTGGGCCATTTTAAACTTATTGCAGGATAAAGAGAGACTGCAATGGCTGTGGCCATTGGTTAAGGCATAATTCTGTCTTTATCACTATCCCTCCACATCTGGGCCACAAGTCCCAGGCCTACTTAGGACATTCGATAGGTACTAGCCACAGGTTGGTGATTTTTCTCTAGGAACTCTAGCTTTTCCTCCACCGACCAAACCTGGCTCCTCATTAAAGAACACTTGCTATTATTAGGACATAAAGTAACAGCAAAGTGCTGGATAAACAGAGTCATTTTCATCACTGGGTTTTATTAATGTCTCACCCTCACATTGTAGATAAAAGTCACCATCTACAAACTATCCACATGGTACTGTTAATCCTTTTACTTTCACTTTATTGTGTTGACTATATGATGTGGCTGTAGGTTTTAATCATGTATACAGATCTTAACAATGGAGGATACAGTTTCTCAAATTTATAAGTAAATTTCAATGAAGAAAACCAACATTGGTGAAAAATAAAACTCGCCTATAGGACTGCTCATAGATTAGTGCAAAAAGTGATATATATATTTTACAATACTACATGATGTGCTTAGATTGTGAATGTAAGATGAGTGACATGGTAATGCTTTGTGAATTGGATATGGTTTTACTGTCAGTTAAGTACTATGTTGCTGTGTAAAATGTACATGGTGTTGCTGTGTAAAATGTACATGGTGTTGCTGTGTAAAATGTACATGGTTTTGCTGATATATATAATATGACATACTGGTAAGGATTTGATATGATCACTTCTATTTATATCATCAATTCATAGAAATTTTGTTCAGTAGAAAATAAAATCCTGTGCTTTGAACTGTTTCATCTTTGTCCTGTGTATTAATACAGCCTTTTAGAGGTCAATTACACAACCATTTAACACATTTGACCACAAAAAACTCCAATGTTTGATTAACACAGGTAAGCTAAGGTGAAGGTGTGTAGAGTTTGGTTGAATGTTTATATATTTTTATATCAGTTATTTATACCGTGTAATTAGCGGACATTAGATATATTTTAGTAAAGTGTTTAACACTTCAAAAACATGGAAGAATATCTATTAGATAAATGAGACAACAAACAGGTAATTGCTTTAGGTAATCAATATATAATGTCAATTTTAGAGAGATGAAATGTTAAAACATATAGAATATCTAAATATATAAAAAGTGACAAATATAACTGAAATGTACATAATTTAGTGCAGATAATTAGTAAAATGATAAATTTGTGCATCAGTATCGAGTGCTATTTATAAACACTATCTAGAAGCGACCTTTAGTGCAATCATTACTCAGTACAATGATTTCACCATGAAATGCACTTTAATACTAATTATATGACGTAAATGATATTTCAGCTGAAATCTGTAGTTTTACATTAATGTTATTGATTAAAAGTCCTTTTAACTTGATGGATCTTTAAAACTTTCTTTTATCATTGATTTTAAATGGCAATGACTGATGTTTGACCACTGGGTTGGTGACACTAATTATAAACACAAGCACGAATAAGATATTCTTAGTTTGAGTTAATAGAATGCATCGCATGCCAGTTTTGTTGGTTGGGAATCTAACTATTCTCATCCTAATTAATGTAAACTTATCCTTTCTTTACTGAATTTAAAATTAATCCCGGAATGCTATTATTGAAAACGTTCTGTACTTACAGTGATGGGTCACCTTAAGAATTCAAGGGTTCAGTTTTCAATGAAAATTGAGCTTTTGTTCTTTTTTTTTCCCTTTTCATTGACATGTTTCAGGCATTAAATCTTTAAATTGCATTACTTGTACTGTTTGGAATGTATAGAAATTTTAATGGCACGTCAATCTCATTTGGATGTCTTGTGTTACTGTGGTATCTGCTAACATCTATCCCGATGGACTATATCTAACAGCAAGGTCAAGGTTGTTGATCGCGTGATGTTAACTTCAGCTCTACAAGCTGTTTCACAGTAAATAAATAAAGGGGAGTAATTTTTTCCTGTATCGAATGAAAACCCATAACATTATATCGTATCATCTGTTACCTGTCCATTTGTACTACTTTGTAAAGCAGTCACAAAATAGTAATAACTTCAGTAAAATTTTACAAAATAATGAAAGATTGAATATCAAATATGTAAGAAATTATCTACATATACAACCAAAATGGAAAATAAAGTGTCACCAACAAGTTGAAATTTTATGACTTTGGCTTTAAAGAGTTTTCAGCCCTAAATATCCATTTCATTGTGACGAAACATTAAACCAGCAATAAAGCTATAAAGAACTAAAAGAAATTTACCATTTAGTGTCATAGGTTGAAGGTCAAGGTCACTGTTACTGTCAACTGAAATTCTTTGCCATCTCAGTACTGGCTTCATTTTCATGCTGATTTAGATGAAATTTTATACAAGTGTTTTGTACACCAAGAAAAAAAATTGTCACTGGCATTCATGTGTTTTAGATTTAGATTAGCAGTAAACACGTTTCCACTTATATCACATTTAACAAGAAGCTTTGATGAAACTTGAATACCTGGGTAATTTAAGCACAAAACAAATCAACTGATATTTGCTGCATCAGACCCACCTGACTGTTGGTTAAACAACTACATTTTCTTCAAGAGAAGTTAACTTTAAAAACATTCCTTAATTGAATTGATTAATTTGACAGAAATTAATTCTCATTATAACACTTATATTACTTCTCAATAACGAGCCATTTGAGCATATTAATATCATTACGTGATATAAACAATTTCCTCATTCTGTCTATAAACAGATACCATGATTGTTCAAATTTAATAATCAAACATCACACTTTAATCATCTACTGGTTATAAGAACTTTTATTCTATAATTAAACTCAATTTGATTTTGACAATACATGCATGTTGGAAATTATTTTGATAGCTAGTCAGTAATAAAAATATATTTGTGCCACTTTATAGGAAATCAGGCTTTTATGTCTCCAGGGTAATTTCAGAGGCATTAAACATACAAAAGGCCTTGTTTATTAATGAAGGTATGAGAGAATGGATGTTTATGATGTTAGGGCTGTAAATATACAATCCCCATGTAGATCATAGTTGTGTGGTAGATCATGGACCATCTTGTGCTGTCTTTATTGTGTCCTTGGACAAGACAATTTTACTTCAGTACCCTTAGATAACATACCATGGGCCTCCCACATGGTGTTCAGAGAGGTAACTTACAAAGAAAACCTGCCTCAAAAATTCTTATGACTTTGAGGTGATAAACTGGAAAAAACAAAATCAGATAACTTAAAGTGTGATGTTATACCCCTTGTGTGCCACCCTTTAAAAGAAAGACATGCGATCAATATATATATATATATATATTGATATTACAATAACGGGTATTAGTTCCATTTCACCACTGTTTCTGTTCTTTTTTTTATATTTTTATGAGTGGTTGGGTGGCGTAGTGGTAACACACTTGCCTTTCACCGAGGCATTTGGGATTCAATTTCCCATAAGGATGTGAAAAGGTATGGTGTCACCTATCCAACCACATGGGTTTTCCCAGGGTATTACTGTCTCCTCCCACAGTAAGATCCCCCTAAGAGCCAGAAAGAGTGATTAATATTGGCTTAATGCTTGTCCTGCAATTATTGTAAAATAGATAAAGTTTATATATTCATGTATTTCATGATATTTTGCTGAAGATCATCTTTTATTGTTGATGTTTTTATTATGATTTAGCATCAATCACAAATAAAACAATTACATAATCAATAACTTTTGTTATGTCTTTTATGATTGGATAGATATAAATATATGGGGGATACTACATATAAATATGGGGGATACTACATATAAATATGGGGGATACTACATATAAATATGGGGGATACTACATATAAATATGGGGGATACTACATATAAATATGGGGGATACTACATATAAATATGGAGGATACTACACTACATATAAATATGGGGGATACTACATATAAATATGGGGGATACTACATATAAATATGGGGGATACTACATATAAATATGGGGGATACTACACTACATATAAATATG